ACATTTGGGAATAGCAGGTGAAAAAATGCCTGTCTTCGTGTGTGAACATCTTACCCCGGAAGCCAAGGCATTACACGCAGCTGCTCGTCAATTTGCCAAAGAGAAATCGTATGAATTCGTCTGGTCGCGGAATGGTAACATTTACTTAAGAAAAGCGCCGTCCACTGATGTAATTCTTGTTAAGAACTTGGAGTTCCTTAACGAAATTTCTTAAAACCATACCATTTATTATTATTTTTTTTGTTTAGAAATTTAAAACATATAATATATTTTTAACTCAGTTACACTTTTGTTTAGTTGATGAACTGTATTAGTGTCTTTTATCAAAACATTAGAGGTCTTAAAACCAAAACTCATGAGGTATATAGTGCTATTTTAAATTCGGAATTTGACATTATTGTGTTAACTGAAACTTGGCTATGTGAAAGTATATTAAATAATGAAATTTTAGATAAACGATACGTGGTTTTTCGACGTGACAGAGAATCTTCTATTTTGCGTACCAAGCATGACGGTGGTGGCGTACTTATTGCAGTATCAAAAAAACTTAAAAGTTATAGAGTTATGAAATGGGAAAGCGACTACGAGGATATGTGGATTAACATTGATTTTAAAGCAGGTAACCCAAATTTTACTTTATCGATTTGCGGTGTTTACTTGCCATCGCCTTTAAATTATGAGTGTCTTAAAAGCTTCTGTGATAATGTTTCCCGTGTATCAGTTGAGCAAAGTAATACAATATTAATAGGAGATTTTAATTTATCCGATATAATGTGGACTGAACAAACTAGTCAAAAATATCTTATTCCTGTTAGTAATAGTGGCAAGATAAACGAATATTTTATAGATTTCATAGCTGAAAATCGTCTTTACCAGTTTAATCAAGTCCGAAATCCTTTCAACAAAACTCTTGACCTAATATTAAGTAATAAAGAAAGTACATTTAAAATCAACGAAGTTAGATAAAGCCCTTATCCCTTAAGCCACATAGACAGACATCACCCACCCCTAGAAATCAGTATAAATTTTACTCCAGTTTCATACCTAGAAACAAACATAAACGAAAGAATGAATTTTTATAATGCAGATTACAGCATTATTATCGAGGAGATAGAAAAAATATCTTGGAAGGAACTTTTTATTACATGTGGTGATGTTGATGAAATGTTAAAAGTCTTTTATTGCAAGCTCCGCGAGATTATAGGTCGGCATATTAGGAAATATAAGACAGGAAATAGTAAATATCCGCGTTGGTTTTCAAAAGACTTAATAAAAAGATTAAAAGAAAAAAATAAATACAGAAACTTATATAATAAGTATAAAAACCCTCTTGATGAAATCTCGTTTAAATTACTGCGTAAAAGATGTGAAACCTTAATAAACATCACATTAAAAATGTAGAAGAAAATATAATGAATAATCCAAAATATTTTGGTCATATTTAAAGGAGATAAGAAATAATAAAAGTGAATATTATTCGTATATGACATTAAATGCACAAATTTTTTCCAATGGTACAGACATATGTAATAGCTTTGCAAAACATTTCTCAAGTATATACTCTGATTATCCTATAGGCAAAGAAAATAGATTCCTAACATTGAATGCGTTGGTATTAATCAAACTTTATCTAATATACATATAAGTGTAGAGGAAGTAGAATCAAAGCTTAAGAAACTTGACAGCAATAAAAGCGCTGGTCCCGACAATATACCGCCTTTCTTTGCTAGGAAATGTGCAGCAGCCCTAGCGCGCCCTTTAAGTATCATATATAATGCTTCCTTGAAAGAGAGTTTTTTTCCAAGCGCTTGGAAGGAGGCTAGAGTTGTGCCTGTTTTTAAAAGCGGAGATAGGACCGATATAACAAAATACAGGCCCATATCAATACTATCCGTATTCCCAAAGGTGTTTGAGGCTATCATCTGTCCAATTATAAATTGGCACATGAAATCTATACTAACTGATAGGCAGCATGGATTTTTGAGAGGAAGGTCCACAGAGTCAAATCTTTGTGAATATATTGATAATTTATGTGTGTCTGTGGACAAAAACCTTCAAGTTGATGCAATTTATACAGACTTCTCCAAAGCGTTTGACGTCGTGAATCATTCCATACTAATAAAAAAAGCTTGAATGTTATGGATTCCACAGCTCCTTTTTAAAATGGGTGTTTTCTTACTTACACAACCGAAAGCTAAAGGTTGTAATAAATGGATTTCAATCTGAGGCATTTATAGCATATTCAGGTGTGCCACAGGGCTCACACTTGGGGCCAACTCTGTTCAATATTTTTATAAATGATGTAGTAAATTGTTTCCTGAATAGTGATGTACTTCTCTTTGCAGATGATTTAAAATTGTTTAAAGAAATAAAAACCGTTAATGATGGAAACTTACTACAAAATGATATTAATAGGCTGGTCTCCTGGTGCGAGCTTAATAATGTAATCCTTAATCATGAAAAATGTTACCAAATATCTTTTAATAAAAAAATCCATCCAATTTTTAATGAATATAAAATTAATGATTTTGTCATAAAAAGACAAATGTTATTCGTGACTTAGGTATTTTAATTGACTGCAAATTAAGTTTCACTACGCATATGGATGAAGTTATAAAAAAATCATTGAAATTTTTAGGATTAATTAAACGGGTAACTAAAACTTTTAAAAATAAAAAAATCCAAAGTAATTCTTTTTTACCTCATTTATTCTTAGTAATCTTGAATATTGTTCTTCTGTCTGGAATCCACATTATCAAACACATATAAATAGGATAGAACGAGTGCAAAAGAAATTCCTTAAGTACCTTTATTTCAATAATAACAAAATACTCAGGCAATTAACTTACATTGAAAGACTAGATAATTGTAATGTGATTTCATTAAATGATCGAAGAGCGCTTATGGACATGTGCTTGTTACACAAAATCGTTAACAATAAAATTAGCTCGAATAATCTTTTAGGTAAAATATCATATGTTATTCCTAGACCTAATTCTAGAATAAGAGATTATAGTTTATTCAAAACTAGGTATTGTAGAACAAATATCGGACTATCAGCTCCAATTAATAGAACCTTAAAAACTTATAATGTAATTTCTAAATTAGTCGATCTTGACATATTCAACGATTCTTATACCACTTTTAAAAATAAAATTAAAAAACATTTTTATAACAAAATTAAGATAACCTCATGAGTTATTGTAGAAAAAATAGAGAGTTTTTTTTTTTCTTTGTTTGATGTATTACAAAAGGTTATTTTATTATCCTTTCTTCCTTTTTCAATAATAATAATGCGTTAATTATTATTTTACTTTAACATGTTAAGTTAGCCTATAAGTATGATATGTACTAAACTTCAGATTAATCTATAAAATTTGTAAATATTTTTTCATTGTACAATAACATGTTGGCTTCCTAATAAATAAATAAATAAAAAAAATAAAAAAAATATAAAAAATACATCATCACTTAAATGGTTAATTTTTAAAAGGAGGTTATGTTGCATTTTAGGTTAAAACCTTAAACTCTTATATCATACTATTTTAATGATCGAGGTTTAATTTATGATAATTTATTAAGTTTTAATAAATAAGATTTAACATTCGTGTGAATTTTCGTGTAACTAAAATAATTAGTAATTTAAATTCATAAGTCATTTAAATATAATAAAGCGAATTTTGCTGTTATACATCAGGTTTTGGCTAGTCGTCGCATAATAAGAAAGATGCATGGTGATAGGGCTATACATGAACGTTATTTGCTTAAAGTAGACTGATGTAAATAATCACGGAGAAATCATGATGATTTTTTTAGAGTTTCTTAAAACACAGTTGATACTGGAAATAATAATAATAATAATAATCAGTAGGGAAGTGACGACCCCATCGCCCGCTGACGTAATGGTTATGTGACAAAACCACTACGTCAGCGCAGTCAGTCAGCACCTTGCCAAGAGGTGTTAGTGCCGTGCCTCGGCAAAAATTAAAGGCGCAAAGGCCGCTTGTGCACATGGCCCCACCATAAAACGGCGCCAGGTCTGGGCGTCTCCCGTTAAATGACGCCCACTTTTATGGATGATAGAATATGTAAAAACGCGCAAAGGGCCGCTGCCTGGAGGTCGCCAGGGCGCGTCTGGTGCTGGCGCTGGACGCGACAGCATGCGAACCGCCAGCCGAGCGAGAGGTGCTGCACGACCACCCATCAGCCCCTCGCATCCATCATCCCCACCAGCTGGCTTGGTGTCGGCAGGGTCTTCGCAGGCCCAGCAATCGGCACCCGCCACTGGTGGAGTACGCCGCATGCGATGGACAACCGAAATGAATACTAACGCATTGCGGGCGTATTTTAGGGCGAAAGGGGGAGAAGTTGGAGGTTTGGCGTATCGGGCCAGGATGCATCGTCTTTTTGCTGAGCTGGAGCCATCTTTAACCGTCTCAGAGCAAAACCTGTTAGACCGGGTATATCTTGCGCTCAAATATATTTGATGTCGCCGAACTCGAACGACTACGACGTGAGACTGTTCCCTCATCAGATGAAAATGCTACGGCTGAGGATGCGGCGCCACAAATTGCAGAGCAACCCGTAAATGTGAAGGCCGCTGTGAATACCCCAGTTGTGGTTGATTCAAACGATGATGGAACAGTCGCCCAGGAACTGGAATTAGAGCATATGAGGAGTACATTGGAAGAGGCGATTGTGAAAACGCGCAGTACGACTCTCGAAAATCGACCGCGACTTCCCCGCATAGCCCTAAGCAAGCGGAATCGGGCTGTCGTGAGGGCTCTGAACCCAATGCTGGTGACCTATTTGGAAGCCAGCCGGGACCTTTGCGAGACGGACTCAATTCTTTTTGGCGCCGCACTGGCAGTGTGCCGTATTATAGGCGCCAAACTTTACAAGGCTGAACGCGCTACTGGACAAAGTAGCGCTATCCCAGCCTGGAGAATAAGAATTGAAGAACGTATCGCAAAGGCTAGGGCCCTCATCGGCAGACTGATATGCTTCAGGTCAGGCAACAACAGGCCAGGATTGTGCGCACCGTCAGGATGGCATTTGCTGGGACAAATGTTAGTTTGTCCCAGCCGGATATAATGCAAAAACTGACGGAGCGCATAGACGACCTGAAGCAGAGAATCGCTGCTTGGGGAAAGCGGATTCGGCGATATACCGAGAGGTCGACACGGTTTAACCAGAATCGTCTCTTCCAGAGTGATCAGAAGAGGCTCTATAAATTGTTGGAGCGACCAATGGTAAGTGGAACGGGCCCAGCACCGAATCAGGCCGACACTGTAGCATTCTGGCGCGGCATGTGGCCAGAGCCCATAAACCACAGCGAGGGCCCTTGGACGGAAGTTGTGGCAAGTCAGTGTGCGAGTATAACGCCCATGAACCCCGTCATTATAACGCCGGATGACGTAGCTGAGGCGGTCCGTGGGGCCCCGAACTGGAAAAGTCCGGGACTAGACGGGCTGCATCACTACTGGCTGAAGGGGTTTGTTTTGTGTCCCACTGTGCTCGCCCGACAGTTCCAAGAGGCTCTCAACCAGAAGTCGCTCCCGAGCCTCTCCACTACTGGGATCACTGTTTGGTTCCTAAAGACCAGGTTACCACAGACCCGAGCAAATACCGCCCCATCACGTGTCTGCCGACCATATACAAGACACTAACATCCATTTTGAGCGCGAGAATCACTCGTCACCAAGTGGAACCAAGGAACCACTCGTCATTGACGCGGTCATTGGCAAAGTGGTGAAACGCAACCGACGGAACTTCTCCGCCGCCTGGATAGACTACAGAAAGGCATTTGACTCGGTGTCCCATACATGGCTAAAGAGGTTCCTCGAGCTGTACAAGATTGACTGTACAGTTCGAGACTTCCTCGAGCGGTGTATGGGGCAGTGGAGTACGATCCTCTGTCATCTAGGCGAGCGGATGACGGCTGCGGAAACCCGCAAGGATAAGAAGATTCCAGGCGACTATCTGAGTCCAATCTGGTTCTGCCTCTCTTTGAACCCTCTCAGTACTTTACTGGAGGGTTCCGGGAGGGGATTTCAGTTTCGGAAAGGAGGTACAAAAGTGACCCACCTCTTCTATATGGATGACCTCAAATTATTCGCCTCCAGTCGCTCCCATCTTATGGAATTGCTAAACATCACTTGTGAATTTAGCAATTCTATTGGAATGGAGCTGGGGACGGATAAGTGTGCGGTCCTCCATGTTGAGAGGGGTAGGGTTGCTAACTCTGAGGGCATAGACTTATCTATGCCCGTCAACTTAACATCCCTTTCCGAGGCTGAAACATACCGATACCTGGGTATGTCACAGAACATCGGTATCGATGAGGCTGGTATGAAACAGTCAGTTTGCGACACGTTTTATGCACGCTTGACCAAAGTGCTTAACAGCCTTTTGTCCGGTGTGAATAAGGCACACACATATAACGGCTGGGTCATGCCTGTCCTCATGTATACCTTTGGCATACTCAGGTGGACTCAGACCGAACTTAACGCCCTGGATAGAAAAGTCTGCACTACCATGACGTCCCATAGGATGCATCATCCGAGATCGTCGGTAATGAGGCTGTACTTGCCGCGAAAGCATGGTGGGCGTGGCTTCCTGAGCGCGGTCGCCATGCATAATCACGAAGTGTGCTGCCTCCGCAATTACTTCCTGGTGAGATCGGATGATCCATTCTATAATGACGTCATTTCTAGTGATAAAGGACTTATCCCTCTATCCTTAGCCAACTAGCAATGGCAGGACCCAGCAGTGCTTAGCATTTCCGACCGGGAGACCGTATGGAAGGAGAAGGAGCTCCACGGGAGGTTCTACAAGGCTCTACATGAGCCTTTCGTAGAAACAGTAGCCTCCCTCCACTGGCTGCGCTTTGGTGATCTCTTCGGGGAAACTGAGGGTTTTGTCTGTGCAATACAGGATCAGGTTATTAAGACCAACAACTATCGGAGATACATCCTAAAGGATGGCACCGTGGACATCTGTCGAGCTTGTCGCCATCCCGGTGAGTCACTTAGGCATGTCATCTCCGGTTGTTCGGCGCTTTCTAACTCTGAGTACTTGCACAGGCACAACCTAGTAGCCAGAATTCTTCACCAGGAGCTCGCTCTGAAATACGGTCTCGTGGATCGGAAATTGTCGTATTACAAGTACTTTTCAAAAGCCGTGCTCGAAAATGATCGCGCCAGGCTCTATTGGGACCGGGCCATCATCACAGACAGGACTATTCTTGCGAATAAGCCTGATATTGTGCTGATGGACCGGGCACAGTCAAGGATATTTTTGGTCGATATTACCATTCCGTATGACGAGAACCTCGTGAAAGCCGAAACATGCAAGCAAACAAAATATCTGGACCTGGCTAACGAGGTGACCGACATGTGGGGTGGTCTGCCGACCGAAATTATTCCTGTAGTCGCTTCTGCAAACGGGTTAATTCCAGACAGCCTCTCGGGTCATCTGAGGCGACTGGGACTACGTGGCGGACCGCTCCGGGCTCAAATGCAGAAGGCGGTGCTCCTCGATACCGCCCGCATCGTCCGCCGGTTTATTTCCCTTTCCCCCTAACCCTCGGCCGTTTGGTCTCCCCTGCCGAGGGCCTCCATCTGGTTGGGCTTTTATTTATTTATGTATTTTTGTATTTATTTTATGTTATTGATATTTATGTATATTTATCTTTTCATTTTCATTTATAATTATATATTTATAGAACCCAACCAGATGAGAAAACTATATAGATACCCCAATAATAATAATCATTTATTGACAGACAACAAAGGCCCGTAAAAAAGAAACATAATTACTTATAATCAACAAACATAAAAAAATATTCAAATAAAATGAAATACAAAAATAAATATAAATTAAATAAATGCCATCAAACAAATTAAAACTTACATCTTAACATACTAGACCAATATTTAAATATTTCACTACAATTTTGCGTTAAAATTAGTATAATCGTGTTTCCAGATTTGAGAAGATTACTTCTCAATCTGGCCACACGATGTCTTATCAAAGCATCGAGCGTCGGTACGCGTTCCTCAGCGAACATTGTAGATGCACTACAGTACCTCGGAAAACGAAACAATATTCGGAACGAATCGTTATATTGAACCTTAAAAATTCGGTAGTTTTCCTTTTTAAATTTAGTCCAGAGATGCGGTGTGTAAAGCGATTGGCAATAGGTTTTAAATAGTAATATTTTAGAATCTCGCTTGCATTTATTAAATTTCCTGTTAATCATATTTGCACGTACAGCTAGGGACCACCTTTCTCTGTCCATGTCCTGATCATCCCTCAGGTCACTCGATACGATGTGTCGTGTGATGTCCTAAATATCGAAAGCTCGTCATAAACTTCAAATTTTTGCCGTTCAGGTATAATGGTAAACAAACATCTTTACTATGCGCTCCAAAGACCATTGCCACAGACTTGTCTGCATTATATACTAAATCTTCTGATACTGGAAATAATATAAGAGTTTAAATAAACTTAAACAACACGCATTGATCATGTGCTGTGAATACCTTATATAAAATATATAAAGATTATTTTCTTTTAATTTTTATAATAAAGATATTAATAGTTATTTTGCAGCCATCCGCTTAATTAAATACAATGATGTGTCTTCCCTAGTTTGAAGTGACGGAATTAGCCACTTATCTCAGCACCACTACTCCCAACACCACTATTCTAGAAAAGACAAGTTGAGGGAGGGCGGGAGGTGCTCTTCAAACTAGGGAAGACACATCATTGTATTTAATTAATCGGATGGTTGCAAAATGAAACGAATAAATAATCTTTATTATAACGGATTTCTCCCGAAGTAGCGCCTGATACTAACAATTATTTTAATTTTTATCCTGATGATCGTTATCAGGATACTAGGATAAAGTTATTGAATTTTTATATTATAATGAGTGTTTGATACGAGTGCAAATTTTCAAGTCAATCGGCGGTCTGTCCACAAGTTGGTGAAAATTACATTTAAAAATTATGTTAAATAGATAGAGATGCACGCGAAACTTATTACAGTGTATTAAAATTCTTAGTTGGAGCCATAAAGCAACTCGAGCCGCCGACGTACCGGGTTTTCGGGTTTGCGGTGATAAAAGAAGAAAACCTCTACGCAAATATTTTGGGGATATGAAAAATATATATCATAAAAAAGGAAATGCGGCGGATTATTCCCTGCTTATTTCAGAAATTATAGGAGGCCCGTACATAAGATTATAGTCTGTAACTTTACTTGCTACTGGCCACAAAATTATAATCAATGAAAAATATTAAACTAAAAAATAATTTATTGCGTCAATTTTTTTTACAGAGCTCATAATTTTTGTGGGGGCGGCGAGGCGTTTGTAAACAATGTTGCTGGCCTGTCATGAACTCATAAATAAAAATCAATGAGAATACTTTATGAAGGCATAATTTGCTTAGACGTTATTGGACGTGAAACATGACTCTTATTAGTCAGCTTACTGAAATTGTGAGTTTTAAGTTTAAAAGACCAAGTAATAAGAAAGTACTATGTGAGAAATAGTAACAATTTGGGAGCCATGGTAGCACAATGGCAAGACATTCGCTCTTTATAATTTATTAAATTTAACCAATCGAATAATTGAATTTTGATCCTCGCAGGCAACAATGGAATTGGTTATTACAATTAAGAAGTAGAATGATGGGGTAGGTTAAGACTAGAAGAAGGTAAGAAGATAAAAACATTACGTGACAAGAATATTATGGTTGCAGTGCGAATAGGTCGACTTGACCTGGGCAGGACCACGCTCTCATAGTATAACAGGGTGAAAGAGAAGACTTATACTCTTCCATTTAGTGAGTCTAAAGAATCGGAGAGCATTTCTTGATGAAAGGACATTACATTAAAAGTAAGGACTTTTTAACCGTGGCAGCTCAGAGCGAAAGCAATCTGTATCATTAACGTTTACTTTTAGGCACAGAATTGTGTTACCACGTGGGAAGGAGAAAACATGTTGAAAAACATACATGTTGAAGGACTAAAATATTTCACGGGCTTGATGTGAAGTCTGCTAATGATACTGGAGCGTGACGGCGGACTAATTGCTTCATAACTCAGAAATAAGAAGAGGCCTTTGCCCAGCTTACTTTTTTTTTGCTTTTTTTCCCCTGCGGTCTAACACGGAACACCCTATTAACGGTAATTGGATCGTTTATTTTGTTTAATTTGGCTTGTTTTTAATTTAACGTACTCACACATACAAAACGCTGTGACGGTTTCACAAAAAATCCAACAGCGCTTTTGACGCATCCGACGATCCGTTAATTAATTGAAATTCGACTGATTGAAATCTTTTCACCGGTTTTGTCAGTGACTGCTGAGTTACACCATAAAAACATTTAAATGAAAAGAGAATATGGATTATTATTTATCTCTTTTTAATTTAAAAGTGTTCATTTAAATCATTCGCTTCGTCGTAATCGGCTACATCACCATTTGCAATCACGCTCGATTAAATGGATAGTAGACTATAGACAATTGATTAGATAGAGAAATGGATAGTAGTGCTTAGTCAAGTACTATTACTAGGTAAAATATCTTATTTTCGTACTGCTATCTATATAATCCATTGAACTGATTGTACTAGCGTACATCCCCTAGTACATAGTA